GTACCCGCCCTGGTGGCCCTGGCAGGTGCAGGGGCGGGTGTCCAACATATTTGATTTTTGAGGCAGGTACCTGCACCCGCTACAGGTACCCGGGTATGAAGCGACATCTCTACCAGGAAACTTGTAACAACATTGTTTTTTTACTTGTTTGAGTTTATGTTTTATGCAAATTAAAAAATATGTTTGTGTGAATTTTGTATCAAATTCACTATTTGGGTCTTGACTTCAGTGAGGATCTACAATTTGAAACTTGTTTCATGAGGTACAAACAATATGTTTTTCAAAGGAATGTTGCTCAACCTAGTTTCCAGATAATCATCTGGGAATATCTTCTTTTCCAAATGACTATGGCACAAGATCAACACTTTTTTTAAGAATAATAATATTTTTTACCACTCTGACACATACAAATAACCCCTGCATCATGTATGCTAGAATACACCTTCAAGTGGTTACTCCATTTGCTAGGGTTTTGAGCTCATTGAGCTACCCTGGAATCTTCCAATTCATTGAAGGTTTGCATTTTGACTGCTTGAGAAATCTTGAACCTTTTTTAACCATAGACACATTTGCCTTCTAGCCACAAATATCCAGGATGTTTGCTCAATTCCTTTCCACCAAGTAGACAAAGTGGATTACTCACTAACTAGAGTGTCTCCTGGATTTAATCAAAACTTCAATGATCATTGCCAGTCTCAATTTCAAAAACCTCTCCAAGTTTTGGATGATGGTTTAATAGAAACTGAAAAAATGAATTCACAAATGCATGATCATTATCAAAACTCCAGAAAACAAGTAATTCTTTATGAAAGTTTACCCTCCAAGATAACCACAAAATCTTTGAAAGTGACACAAGATCAAAAATATTCTGAAGCAGTTTCTGCACAAACTGATGAAAGCTACGAAGCATTCATGGAAAAGCTGATCCAATCTGAAGATTTTGAGCTTTCAAATAGGAAGAAAAGTGCTGGATTGTCATTTCTATTAGAGAATGGTTCTGACTCAGTTTATCCTGAGGGAAGTTGTCTTTGGAGAGACTGTAGCATTTCTCCAACCTTCAATGTCACATGTGAAAATGAGGGAACAATTGTAGGGCTTGGCATTCAAAAATTGTTTCAAACAAGCCATTCCAATCATTTCATATCTGCAGATGTTCTAGGTGCCGAGGGAAATGAACTAACTAAAAATCAGGCACAGAAACAGTATGAGAGCCATCCTTTTCAGTCTCTGATAGAAGATAAACCAGAACACATTCCTTATCACCCAATAGATTTTCAATTTGAGAACTGCAGTACAACAGCCCACAGAAAAGTATTAGAAAACCCTATTCCAATTTTCCAGAGGTATTATTCCCATCAGGCTTTGGATTGGACTCCAGGTAAAGTTAGTCAGAAAGCTTCCCTTGGGTCACATGCCCTAGCATCTCAGCTTCTCAAAATAACAATGGATTCAAATATCAAGAAATTTCTACAGACAATGAATGATTCCCATGGAATATTGATTCCATTTACCTATGATTTGATTCTGAAAGGATTATCCATAAGAAGCTGGTCAAGAATCAAGGATCTGTGGGAGCATTTCTGGATAATTTGGTCTCAATTAGAAAAAAATAGGTCACATGGAGCAATCATGAGAACCTTCATTTGGATCTCTGATTACATTTCTGAAGTGACAAGTCCAGAATTGTTCTCCTTGTATTGGAATAACAAGAAGGGAAATTCTTCTATACCATCAAATTGCCATGCTGATATGATTAGATTTCTCTCTTCAGGAAACCTTATCAAAAGTCTAAGAACTCCACAAAAATGTCAAAAAATTGTAGAGACTTGTCTCCATGAAAATGCACTCATTTGTATGGAAAATCTGGATCCTTTGATCCAGAGTGAAGTCCACAACTATGTTTTGCAGAGATTGAAAGAAATTAGTGTTGCAATAACCTCCGCAGTCTTATCTGATCTAGTGAAATTATTCACTGATTTACTCAAGATGAATAAATACCCTTATGATAGAGTCATGGTTGCTATATTGTTTTCAAACAGGGGATTCATTGGACTCAAATTGCAGAGCAAATTATCACCATCACTCAGAAGTCTCTTCAATAAAATAATCAATGAAGACCACACATCCAACTTGTTCACTAGCTATTCACATAAAGAAATTCAACATCACAACTTCCCTGATGGGTTCATCCATAGTATGAAAGGATATGCCTTTCAACCACAACAAAGCAATACTGAACAACAAAAATACTTACCAGAGAAAATAAGAGAATTTTTGTTTGAAAGTTGCTAAACCAAGATATTTAATTTGAATCATTTCACCCAAGACCTGATAGTTCATTGAATATTTTTTTCTTCCTATTTGTAATCATCTAACACCAAATTTATTATCAATCAATCCTTGCATTTTCATAGGATGTTACATTAGGGGGTATCAAATATAGGAAATCCACCATTCAAAACCAGTCACTTTTCCCAAAAAATCTTTTTGCATCAATGGGCCCCAAAAGGGGTTAAATGAATAACCAACATGTTTAAAAAAGGGTGGATTTTTTAAAACCAGTCAATTAAATAATGGTGGATTTGGTTATATTTGATACCCCCTATTATTCAAAAGCCTTGTACTTTCATTGAAAAAAAGCTTTTTTTTCTCCTAAACATCCACTTGTTTTGTGTGAATTTGATGGAATGATCTCCTTTTTTAAATCACCCATAATTATCTGTCATTCAATTGTGCAGTAATTTCGATGGTTGAATCATGTAGTTTTCCCTGTGTCTTGAAATAATCAACTTGAGTACCCAAAATAAAACTGGACAAAGACACAGCAGTAGCCTTCAGGACTCCTGGTGGTGATAGGTAAATAAGTTAGTCCACATTATAAGGATTGTTGTGAGCTGCTTCACTTTCTATCAAGTGTCTTGAATTAAGATGGAACAAGCAAGAACGATATGAGAAAATCAAGGCATTGAAAACTGTAATGTTTCTCCACGCCATCAAGCAGATTAGGAAATAGTGGATTGCCAAAGGTTTCAAATTTAAAAGGTTCAATTAAAAAACGGGGTCCATAGAGGACATTGGGAATCCTGCAGGGATCATTGAAATACATAAAAAAAAAGAAAAACAGCGGATTGAAGACCATGATGCTTCCATTTTTTTTCCTTGTACAGTGGGTAGACCGTTATTTTTGTCTGCTTGTTTTGGATTCCAGAGCTTCAAAGCACAAAATTCAAGTCACAAGAATTAGTGAAGTGGTGCAGAATAGGTCCCAGAGAATGAATATGAAAAAATAAAAACAAAAAACAAAGTTTCAAAATTTGTGAAAAATAAAAAATAAAATTTATCTTTCTCAAAAGCTTTGAAATTCATTTTGGGGGATTGAGAGTGCTGAGAGAAAGGAAGATTGGGATATTAGAAAAATGATTATGAATGAAAATCTTGGAAAAATTGCTTTCCAGATGGCTTCAAAGAGCTGTTGATTGAGGCATTCACCAGCCCACATTGTAGTCAAGCACTAGAATTTACTGTTTTGGCTCCAATCTGGACAACCAACCTGGCCAAACCTTTTTTGGTTCCAATTTTTTTCATTTATAATCATTCTTCCCATGTTCCACTCTTTCTTTCTCTCAGCACTCCCACTCCCCCAAAATCAATAACAAAGCTTTTGGAAAAAAACATTTTTATTTTTTATTTTTCACAAATTCTGAAACTTTATTTTTTGTTTTTATTTTTTCATATTCATTCTTTGGGACCTATTCTGCACCAATTCACCAAGTCTTGTGACTTGGAGTTTGTGCTTTGAAGCTGTAGAACCCAAAACAAGCAGCCAAAAATAACAGTCCACCCACTGTACACCCCAATCTTATGTGGCTGAATGACCAGCATTTGTGCTATGGGAGCTAGATTGGTGATGGCAGCTCATCTGACGGTAAGCAGTTTATTATGGCATTTTCCAAGCCTTGCCAATTTAGCAAGCATGACATACTATGAATAAGGGACTTCACTCATATCCTGACCTTAGCCACACATATTCAGTGCCTTTTCATAGGAAGGGACATACACAAGTCCAAAGAATGCCTACATTTTTGTCTCTGGACTTCTTTCCAATACTTAAAAGGTTTTTTGTTTGATGAGTTTTGATACAACAGAAGGCAGCAGCAACAAGACTTGGATCCAAAAGAGACAATGTTATACTGTGGAAAATGGTCAACCATAAAAAAAAATCTTGCTACTACCCCAAAGTTGTTTTTTGTTTGTGTTGATTCCTCCGAGTCCAATTGAATATAAGCTCATCACCCGTCGATTTGATTTGTTATGGTTATCTTTTGTCCCGGTTATCTATTGCATTACAACATAATTGACGTTGGATGATGCTCGTTCAGAGTGTGCCCTATCTTGAGTATACACAGTATGATACTCATCTGCTGCACCTTGCAAAGGAAGCATGGTGACAGCACACCCAAATGTGATTGATATGGATTTCAAGTAAAGATCACTTGGTGTAGCCATTTGACAATTATCTCTCTGGATAGATTTCATTGACATTTTGATATTCTTTTTTTTTTCTGCTCATCTGGATTTCATCATTCTTTCAACTCTTGAATCCTCTTTTGCAACTGTTGAGCACTGGGCACCCGAGCAATGATGGGAATCAAATTTTTATTGACCTGACTACTCTGGGAATGAGCCATTTTATCTCAGTCAGGGTTTCATTACCATGAAAATCAAGGAAACTAGAAATGCTTACAGATGAAATCTATCATTAGACGGCTTGAATGCTACATATTTAGTTACATATCATTTGTTTCTGACCAATCTGAACGAGTTCAAATTTCATGATATGTATAATATGCCATAAAATTAGTATTCAAGTCACCAGCATTAACCAGACTATTACATTACATCTTTTTTTTCCCACATAACCACTCTAAAAAAAGAATTGGGCGTCATGATGGCAAAAGCCATACTACCGCATATCAGATCTTTTTTGGAGTTTAACAAACTCACATTTTCATTCTTGGCCTTCAAAAGAGAGAAAGAGATAAACAATATGACAAGCAAAATCACATCCATTAAGATTTACTTTTGATTCCACTGAGTTTCTTCAAGCTCCTAATGGTTCTGACTGACCCCTTCACCCCTAGCACCGATCCCACAAGCACATCAATCTCGTCCAAGAACACCTCGAGTTCCTCCTCGCCACCAGAATCGATCAAGCCCAGGAGATCAACGGGAGATTGGACGCCGAGCCACTTGAAATGAGTGCCATAGGGGGTCAGGGCAGGTGAGAGACTGCTGAGGAATTCGGTGATCGAGTTTTGGGCTTTGACGGAGAGTCTGATGCTTAGTGGTGGGTATTATTTCAGTTGAGATTGGTTACTGTTAGGGGTCATCATTCCCATGCCTGTCGTCGTTGGATGATTGGAAGTAGGATTGGGTGGGATTGCAACCGGATAACTGTCTATGTACCTGCTGAGAGATGGGCAGTGGATAGTTTGTTGTGCGCGAGCCACCACGTGAGCAGTGACTGCGCAGAGTGCCACTGAGACTGCTTGGGGCGCGTGGGAGAGACTAGGCGGCTGGAGGGGGGATTGGTTGATGATGGATGGGTGGACTGGGAGTACTGGCGGATGATATTGGATCCGCTTGCCGGTGTAAGGGTCGAATAGGAATGGTTTTGAGCTCGAGGGGCGGGAGGGGTAGCCCCGTTGGAGACGTTGTGGGATTGACTCAAAGTCAAATCAGCTATCCCAACCTCGCTGGTGCCCCCAGATGCGCTCGTCTTGACCTTCTTCCTCCTGGGCGGCTGGCCTGATAGCCTGGTACAGGGACGGTGACCGACGGGGAGGTCGAGTCCAAAGGGATGCTTGTGTTTGAAAGATAGAAGAAAGCCAGAGATCAGCTCTCAGAATTTGCGGTAACAGAGGATGAAAGAGATAGCTCACGTTGTCATCAAAGGCGTATACGACCTCGAAGCCTTTGACGCCGAACCTAGCCCTCATGACTTTGTAGACGACCTTCCAGCCGTTTTCAGCTATCTTTTGGGCGACCGTCCCGGGTTCTTTGAATCAGCTACATCGGAGTACGATTGTCCCTGAGCTCCCTTCAGACTGAGACTGACTGAGCGTAAAGCCTCGTGCTCCGGCTGGCTTTCGAGACCACGTTCGAAAGCCGTCCCAGCTGTCAAAGTGATCGCCAACTGATTAATTCAGCACATTGTCCAGATCCGATTGTCGATTCTTAGTCATTTTTAATTACCTCTTGGTAGACATGAGTTGATGTTGTCCACTGGGCTGGGTTCGCAGAGAAGGATGTGGTTCGCAGGCACAGGCCGGTTTGAGGAGTCCATCATCAGTTTTTGATTGATTGGTTGGTTACAAGCATCAAGCCAGTGGCCTTCTACCAATCCGACGACAGCCCTTTCATGGAAACGCTGGAGAGGAAAAAAGCAACCAACACTTTGATATTTTATGTGCAACAAAGAAGAAGAAGAAGAACTCAAGAGAAAGACAAAACAAAAACAGAAGGAACAATCCAGTCATTCCAACAGTTCACTCAAACTCACTTCTGGGCTGTCAGGGGCTATCTCGCGCCGGTCTTGAGGGAATCCATATTCAAAGAACATGGTTGAATCACTCCAGGTTAGTTGTAGTAGTACTAACAGGGAAAGATGAATTTCCATCAGAGCACCACTATTTGTAGGTATTTTTGTGCATACAATCTTGCGATGATGAGAAAAAAGAGAAATAAAATGTGGGAAAATGTGAAAAAAAAAGATCCATGATAAATGTGGATTTATTGACTAAATATGTACATACATGGTGAATGATTAACAGAGAGGAGATAGGAAGATGAATAAAAGGGTGAGAGAGGAGTGAGAGCCGACTGTGGAGGTCCAGGATCGTCGAGTAATCGTTCAAGGGGCGGATGAGGAGGAGGGTCGATGATTGGTGGGGGATCTCTTGCTGGACATGGTGGGACTAGCCGTGTTCCTTGAGGTCGAAGGGGACGCTAGCTGAGTTCTTGGGATCTTCGACCGCATGAGTCGTCGTCAACAGCCTGTTCAAATGATGACGATGCCACTGGGCCCCGGAGGGCAGCAGTGGAGCCACTGGCGGCCTGGCCTGGTCTGCCAGCAGGGCCTCGCTCTCCTTAAGTTTCAGTCAAAGAGTCGGCACTGTGTAGAGACTGACGGTGTCAACCCAGGGAGAGTCCAGCTCCGGGTCTTGCCTTGGCAAGTAAACTTCTGACGCTGTCTTGGTTTGGAGGATGCTCATCTGACTGTGCCTTTCCGTTGGCTGCTGCAGAGACCAGGTGAGTCAGCGTCTTCTCCATTCGATCTAGTGCCAGCCAGCCGGTCATGGTCATCCAGCCGGTTGCGTAGCTGCCTCACTTCGTCCTGTAACCGACTAAGTTCTCCCTGGGCTTGAGATTGAAAGTCTCGACCGGCGAAGAACTTGTGGACTTTTTGTGTATGAGCATATTCAAGCCACTACCACCAACCGTCGACTCGGATAGCTGATTGTTGTCCATAATCTTTCCGCAATCTTGTGGGCACAAGCAAGTCCTGTGGGATCAGTGGCCTTGGGCATGCACATGAGGGAACTGGCCAGTCTGTGCAGCAGGAAGCTGCTGCCGTGGTACACAACATTAGATAAATGGACTGGAGTCCCAGAATTCCTGTCTGGTTCAGTCTTTCCCACTTCTCCATCCGTTTCCGCTTCTCAACTTTACCCTCCCTGGCGGTAGGCACACCAGTTGCCATGGCATACGCGACCATGATCACCACCATTCTGGCAAGTGAGTATATTCCTTCTTTGATAGTGTTTATAAGACACCGATGTTGCCATTTGCCTCTAGACCACGCACCCAAATTTTCAGAAGAGTACGTGACGAAAGCAGCGACATTTTTCGTTGACTGTCTGACCAAAAGAGACCTAGGTAAGTCTCTACTACACAGGCCTGTTTGCTTTTAACCACTTGCTTACGCCACTTCTGTTTTTTTTCTGCTGCAAGTGATCATGCTTGTGGTTATTGCTCATGCCGCTATCTTGGCCCTTCTCGGTCAGTTTTTTTTTTTAACCCTTCATACTTGTGTGTACAAAAGGTGCTGATTGAGTTATAAAAAAGTCTATATGATTGTCCCTCGGGCTAAGTCTGAGTCAACCAAGTCCGGTAAGCTGTGGTAGATACATAAATAGGTGTATCTGATTTGAAAATACACATCCTTACTCGTTCTTTTCTGTCTCGTATGTAGATCCTGCATTGAAGGCACCTGCTGAATGCCGAGAACACCAAACGTCATTCTTGGAGCAACAAATCAAACACCAATCTGCCCAATTGATTGCTATCCTGGAGCGTCAGGAGCGTCAAATCGCTGCGGTGCAACTCCAGCTCACTTCCTCGGAGCAACAAATCGCGTCCTCGGAACGCCCATCTGCCCAATTGATTGCTATCCTGGAGCGTCAAATCACTGCGGTGCAACACCAGCTCACTGTCCTGGAGTGCCGTGTCATCACCGGCCAATCATCCACCCACTGAAATCGACGAGTGTGGCTCGCTAGGGACCTTGCTGGCCAAGGATTAACTTCATCTATCTTTATTTGTCTTTTTTTTCATCTCTTCGCTCCTCCTTTCCTCCTTTTCTTTTTCTTGTGTAAACCATTTTTTTGTTTTATCTTCCTCTTTTCACTTTTTTCGTCTCTTTGCCCCCCCTTTTACTTTATTCTTGTGTACATTCATTTTTTATTTTATTTTTTATCTTGCCCTCTTCATTTTTTTTTCGTCTCTTCACGCCCCCAGCTAATTAATTGCTTCTTCTTGTGCCCATTCAATTTCTTCGTTTTATTTCCCGTTTTTTTTTTTCTTATTCTGTTGCCTTCCATTCATTTAAATCCTTATTTCTCATAATCAATCACACTCCTTTATAATCCAAGTGTTTCCCAATGAGGTGCGGAAGCGTGCAGAGCTTGTCGGAGATATGTACCCTGTCCGACAGTGCATTGAGTATTCAGGCGCACCGGTCAGATGTATTTATGTACACACGCAGCGCATCTCCTAGGACAAAGCTCTCAAGAACCACGAAACCAGTGATACCCACAAACCGTTCATACAAAGCCCGTCGGAATCTGTAAGCTCGGTCCCAAATTCCTTCGAGATGGGACAAGCAACCGAAACAGCCAAGCGAGCTGTCGTCAACCCCAGGACGACCAAATTTGAATGTAAGTATTTCAGAGATTGAGTCTCCTAAAGATTTGCCAAGATGCGATCTCGGCTGATCAATAGTTATCATGCATTCTTAACATCCTCGAAGTCGGCGGTCGGATCGTAGCGCTCGGCGTTACTTTATCGGTCCCGTTCTTCACCTATTGGCTGAATCTGGCCTGTACTCCTCAAACTGGATGTTTGCTGGGTCCCCAAATCCTGGACCTTCGGACTCTATGGAACACGACCAACTTCTTCAGTCTCGAGGCTTGCTACGTCTATCTTGGATGGTATATGTACATACCTTGTACTCTGCTGGCTAGTACTCCCTGGCAAATCGGTTGATGGTACTGTCTTGAGAGATGGCACACGATTATCTTATAAATTTAATGGTCAGTCCCCCTTAGCTGCTCCTCTCAACCCAGATGCTGTTATATGTGATATGCTGAAATAGTCAGCTCAAAAAAAAATCGTGTCCATTTTCAACACCAGCTTTCAATAGTCTCATATGCACCATCCTTCTCACGGCCGCGGTGTTTGCTCGATGGGGCGGCTCTCCCTTCTTGTATATCGTCGATCATTACGTCGAGTTAATTACTGCCAGTTTAATCGTGAGTATCTATCTCTCAAGCAGTATATTGCTATTGGAGCAGTTTCCAGCCCGGTCGGATCCTAGCGCTTGGTGGCAACAGCGGCAACGTAATCTACGATGTAAGCCTCTATCACATTTGACAAAGCATGATTGAGTGACAACTAATCCATTTTTCTTCAGGCTTAATAAAAAAGGCAGAATGTGTGATTTTTTGGAAGAGGGTTCTGATCAACTGTGGTCATTACATGAATTCCAGAATAATCTTGTTGAAAATTTGGTCCAACTCGGAACTGAAAGAAAATAAAAAAGACACAAAATAAACTGACAAGTTAGATTCATGATTATGAGAAAAGAACAAGATTCAAGACCTGCTATTCAAAACTATTAAATCACAAAGATGAGACAGGTCTACTATCATATAATCTGTCATGAAATTGATCTTCTCTAGATTGAATTTGATTTCAGATTTAGTCTTACATAATATCTTCATAACAAAAAATTAATCATGTTTTCATCACACATTATCACTGCAAAAAGGGCTGTATTGGTAACAACCCCCCACAATAAGGATGCCTGGAGGCAACCAATATAAGATTGGTCTCATTGACCAATTTTCTATTGGTTGGGCCCACCAATAAATTAGAACAAAGTAAAAATTTATTGGTGGGCCTGGCCAATATAAAATTGTTCAAGTAGACTGATCTTATATTGGTTTCCTCCAGGCAACCTTATGGTGGCAGGTTGTAACTAATTCAAACCCTTTTGCAGTGTATTTTAAAATATTGCTTTGTTTTAGGTTGAATTTGGTTTCAGATTCAGTCTAACATATCATTGCATAATATAAAATTTAAGAAACCTTGGTTTCAACATTAAATCTGTAATAATAACAACATCGATTTTTTGCAGCTTGAATTTGATTCCATATTTAGACATACATAAAGTCTTGAAAATATCAAAAGCACTCTTGTTTTTTGAATTTTACAATGCAATATCATGTTTCTCAAAATTTTGATTGGATGAATTATGGGAGGGAAAATGGGGTTTTGGAAACCCTACTTCAATTTTACCCTAATACATCAGGCATACCAGGAAGCCTTTATACAGAAGGAACCATTCATGGCAATTGCTAAGCCCAAATTCCAATTCAATGCTGTATAGCAGATCATTATGGAAAAAGGGCTCCCCTTTGCACTGAAGTTAGTCCAGGGGGAAAAACAAACAGTGTTGTTTCATAAAAGTCCTTTTTTGAAATTGTGAGCTCAAAATAAAAACAGCTTTAGAGGGAAATGAAGAATGAAGAAAATGGCTTGGATTAAAACAAACACAGGAACAGGAAACAAATGGAGCTTCTTGTATTGTTTTTTTTGCTCCATGATTTTATGAACAGAGATGAGCAGTTAACGTTTGTGTTTTTCCTCGAGAGGGAGAGGTGTCAACAGAGCTGTGGAATGTTAGATTGGCTCAATCCCGTATGTAGTACTTGTATGCTTGTACTTAGGTATGCTTATATCAAGCTGTCCATTACTACTTATTTACCGGACCCCACTCAACACTCTCTCCTTACTGAATCATAATATAATTCTCATAGTCAAACGTCTCTTGTGAGTCTTGACATCAGTCATTGTTTTCAGTCCCTGGTATCCCTCAACAGGTTATGAGACCCTCTTGTCTCGCTCTTATTCACATTGAAAACCCTTCTTTCCATCCTCTGAAACTCAGACTCAAGCCAACATACCAATTGCTTGATCCGCTACTCTAAGTTTTTTTTTCTTGCTTTGAATCATGAGGATGTCTGCTTGACAAGTCCAGAGCGTCTTGTCACTAATCTCTACCGTCGACGTTCTCGATGGTACGGCCGCTGTATTTCCTGGTTGGCAAAGTCGTCTTGAAGATGTATTGAACATGCAAAACACTCTTGATATCGTAAACGGTTCCCTTATATGGCCAAAGGAGGACATAAAAGCCAATGCTTTGGTTGCATGGACCACAGACTACTCTAGATGCTACAACCCAAATGAAAGCATGGCCAACTGGGATGCTCTGTCAGAACAGCGGCTTCAACTATTTGCCTGACCCTTTCTCGTCCGTTAGCTTTAAGATACCGAAAAACAAAGCCAGCTTCTCGTCTCTTTACCACTATAGTCAACGCATATGAAAAGAATACGTGAGCTAGACAAATTTGCCTCCAAGAAGCATTTTGGGAATCAAAGCACGACCCAAACACTCCGATCGCTCTCTGGATCGGACACGTCAGGGTGGCCACCGATGATCTATTGACGATAAACAAGTTACCAACCGATCAACAAATTGCCGACCAGATTGTTGCTGGACTCAATAGCTCCTGGGCCGCTGTCAAGGACTCAATCATATATACTGCACAGGAAATGTCCCTCAATGACACCATTGGTGCGTTGGAAGCACATGAAGTCAGTCTCCACAGAAGACCTTCCTCCAACTTTGCCTCCGCCTCTTACGCATCCAACCAATGTACTGGTTGCTCAAACTGCGGCAAGCGCGGACACAAATAATCAAATTGTAGGAAACCAAAGACTAAAGCGGGTGCGGTTTCAACAGTCAAGCTAGGTGGCCACGACTTGGGTTCGTTTGACGACGGAGACAAAGTCAATGTAATTTATGAGTAGCTGAAATCCCCCTGAAGTCAATTTTCTTCTTTCATGCACGCTCATTTTCCCTAAGCCTGCTTAATGGTTATTCTACTATCTTAGTACAATCTCCAAGTTTAGTTATATATTAGTATGTGCTGAATCTATAGTGTCAGCCTTAGAGCCAGCCAAGCTGGCCAAAAGACTGCTTAAGTCCTCCTTTTTTCATTCAAGTCCCTACTGTAACTTTTTTATGTTAATCTTTTATTGCATTCTGAATTCAGAAATGAATTCCTCTGTTAATTTTAACCTTAGTCACCCCTACACACTTTTACACTACTCCTCTCCTTCACAGACTTTGTAATATTTCACCGTACCATTGTGATACATCAACCAAGTTGGAATTCCAACTCTCTACCACATGTACATGTTGTGATTATGTAATCCAACTCTGAAAATTTTCTCAGTAGACACTGAGTTCGCATTTTCAGGATCTTCAAGCTTCAGACCCACCCAGAACCAACTCAGACCAGAAAATCAGCAACCCTCAACTTGGATTCACCGCCGTATCATCGCCGTGTTATCGTTTGGAGTCCTTTACTCTTTGGAATCTTCCCACTCTCAGTTTCAGGATCACCAAATAGTAAGTCACTCCATCAAGTCAAGCTTGCATCTTTCTGCTAAGTTTCTTCTCTGTCTCTCTGAAGGAACTCTTCATTCTGTTTCTGCTAAATACCTGCCTCCATTATCATCACATAAATCCAAGTCATCTTTAAGTCATCATTATTCTTTGTTTGGTGGTATAACTGAAAACCACATAGGTTTCCCTTTAAAGAGCCTTGATCTTTGATCTAAAAAATCGTGGTTGGATTGACATATCAATACCAATAGCCCTTCTCAGTTTCAGTTGAGTAAGGAGGCGTAGATTTATTCCGCTAAAACAACAGCCATCCTCTTAAGGAAAGTAAGACTGCATTAAGACTTGACTTTAAAATAAATAAACAATAAAAATATTAATCTTTCTTTTCTCTTTCTCTCTTTCTCTCTCTTTCTCTTATTCTAGTTGTATTTCCTTATTCTCTGGAAATACATCTAGAAGTGTCCCCCAAACCTTGTGTCCTGTTGTCAATTTTGAGACCCAGGCTCACATATAGCTTGTTATCAGCAAGGGGGGATGTTGGATTGGCTCAATCCCGTATGTAGTACTCGTATGCTTGTACTTAGGTATGCTTATATCAAGCTGTCCATTACTACTTATTTACCGGACCCCACTCAACACTCTCTCCTTACTGAATCATAATATAATTCTCACTGTCAAATGTCTCTTGTGAGTCTCAACATCAGTCAGTGTTTTCAGTCCCTGGTGTCCCTCAACATGGAAATTACGTGAGGCTTGATGAAATAAAAACCAATAGAAAACTTGTAGTATCAGGAAAATGGTTTAGATATAAGAGCCATTGTGCATTGGAAAAGTTGAGGAACAAATGAAGATCAGCAAGAAATTAAGACATGTGTATTGTAAACAAGGACAGGGATGTGTATGTGTATTTATAAGTTAGTTTTTTTTCCATTTCACACTTATATAATTTTTTATTATCCAACAGTTTTTTGAAGGCGGGTTTGGAGGATCCAATGGGTCTGATTCTTTCAGCAAGGGAGGTGATGGAGGACTGGCTGGGGTTGGCCATGGTGGCATAGATCTTGATTTTTGTCAGCCACAGAGTACATGTGACAGTACCTTTCATGTACCAAGTAACTGCAACACCTGTACTTACTTACATAAGTACATATCCATAATGTTGTTTACCTTTACCTCTTGTTATCTTATCATTATCATTATCATTATCATTATCTTATCATTATTAATATCACCTGTGTCACTCCAATTCTTCCTTTGGAATGTAAAAATGGGTGGAGCTGGATGTTCCTAGCTCCACCCAGCTCTCCCAGCTCCTTTTTCCAGCTCAGGGAGCTGGATTGTGTTGGAATTCCATTGTCTCCGTCTTTCCTCTCTTCCACTTCATTGTCACTCCTCTCTCACCTGTCACTCCTTTTCCAGATCCAGATGAATATTCATCATTTTCACCTTCTGTCCCACAGCTTAGCCCTCATTTGTATGTAGATAAAAACAGCCATACTTGAGTTAGAAAATGAAAATCATCCGTTCTTCTGCGCACTGATCCCGGGAGTCTCTACAGGATACAACTCCTTTTAGCGTGTGAGCTTTTCCTCCACGCAAGCTAGCAGCCTTTAGCCCTTTTTTGGGCTCTAAGACCTTTTTGTTTTTCCTCTGAGCTTTTCCTCGAGGATTTACTTCTCCAGGTCTCTTCACCCTCTCTCATCAAAATCTCAAGTTTCTTCAGATTGCAACTGTGG